CCACCTCAGTCTCTCAGCGTGCTGGGATTACAGGTGTGAGTCACCATGTCCGGCCTATTTTCCACACTTCTTAATGGAAACAAGGTTATATATCTGTGTATATGTATATACATACAGCAAAAAATTAGATATATAGAACTGTTAAGTGTTTGATTTGCCAATGCATACTACAACATGATCCCTGATTTCATACTATTGAAAAACATATATTTTTAAAATAAGAAAATGCTTGATTCAAATACGGATTTTTTCCATTTCTAGTTGTGTAACTTTATGTTATATAAGCAGTTAAAGAGTTTCTGCAAAGTTCATGTTATAAAGTTGCAAGGCTTGGACTTAATCAAACATTTTATTGATAAATCGAATCCTAGGATGTATTTATCCCTGACTTGTTTAACCTCAGGACATATGCTATGTCCTAAGAAAATGAGAATTATGAACAACCAAGGTGAGTTTATTTTTCTTCAAGAAATAAAATGTGCTTCATAGCAAATTTTAAAAAATAAGTATTGTAGACGCATACTAGTTTTACACATTTATGGGGAACATGTGATATTTTGATGCAAACACACAATGTGTAATGGTCAAATCAGGATATTCATTGTATCTATCACCTAAAAAATTTATCCTTTTTTTGTGTTAGGGACTTTCAAACACCACTCCTTTTTTTTTCTTTGCTTTTTATTTCAATAGTTTTTGGGATACAGATGGTTTTTGGTTACATGATAAGTTCTTCACTGATGACTTGTGAGATTTTAGTGCACCCATCACCCAAGCAATATGCGCTGTACCCAATATGTAGCCTTTTACCGACCCCCTGCCAGCCTTCCCCCCAAGTCCCCAAAGTCCATTATTCATTCTTAAGCCTTTGCGTTTTCACCGTTTAGCTCCCACTTATAAGTTAGAACAACGATATTTGGTTTTCCATTCCTGGGTTACTTCACTTAGAATAATGGCCTCCAGCTCCAGCCGAGTTCTTTAAAAGACATTATTTCATTCCTTTTTATGGCTGAGTAGTAATCCATGATGTATATGTGTGTGTGTGTATATATATATATATATATATATATTTTATATATATATTTTATATATAATATATATATATATATATATATATATATTTTGTTCATCCACTTGTTGGTTGATGGGTACTTAAGTTGGTTCTGTATCTTGGCAATTATGAATTGCCAGCAACACTCTTTTAGTTATTTTGAAATATACAATAAATCATTGTTAATTATAGTGGCCCTATTGTGCTACCAAACACTAGATGTTATTCCTTCTATCTAACTGTATTTTTGTATCCATTAAACATCCCCTCTTTATCCTCCCTGCCTACTGCTTTTCCCAGTTTCTGATAACCATAATTCTCCTCTTTTCTTGAGTTCAATATATTTTTAGCTTCCACAAGATATTTGTCTTTCTGTAAACAATTTAAAAATCATTGACTAAGATTTGTGTATTTTTGTTTTGAGTAGAAACACAGTTATTGCTAATGACATTACTTTTTGTCCTTACCTTCCTTTTTCCTGGGCAGTGTTATAACTTTGTCAGGTTATGATAACAGCAGGTAATAAACTCCACTTTTGTTCATCAACAGGCTATTCTGATGGTCTTTGGGAAGTCACATTCTATATTTTTATGTCATATTATTACTATAATATTAAAAATAATCCTTTATAAGCCAAATAATTAGTCAAATTAAATTTTTCCTGATTGTGATCAAATATTTCATTAGGCTATAATGTTTTCCTTTTTATTGTCTAAGATTTCTTCATTTAGTCTCTTGTTTTCAATGCAAATTATTTTGTAACCAATTCTTACAATAGTCCTCAAGTCATAATTTCTTTTTGTCATTGTTGAAACAATTACAAAGAAATTGTCTGTAGATGTCTTCTAGAGTTTCCAAATCTTACTTCACGATCTATCTTTTTACTCTACACCAGTGATTTAATTTTTTTTTTTTTTTTTTTTTTTTTGAGACAGTTTTGCTCTTGTTACCCAGGCTGGAGTGCAATGGCGTGATCTCAGCTCACTGCAACTTCGGCCTCCTGGGTTCAGGCAATTCTCCTGCCTCAGCCTCCTGAGTAGCTGGGATTACAGGCACGCACCACCATGCCCAGCTAATTTTTCGTATTTTTAGTAGAGACGGGGTTTCACCATGTTGACCAGGATGGTCTCGATCTCCTGACCTCGTGATCCACCCGCCTCAGCCTCCCAAAGTGCTGGGATTACAGGCGTGAGCCACCTCTCAGGTTGTTAATTTCTGAATTGAACATTGAACACAAATAGTTAAAGTTCATGTCTCCTGCTGAATTATTCTGTTAATAACTTAGTAATAACAAGTGAAATTACTTTAGCTATTCATGAATACCTTCCACAGCTTTCAACATAAGGACTTATTTTTAAACTTTTTTATTTTTTTTGCTAAGCATAAAAGATTATGTGTAAGATAATTAATGCCTAATTGAGTTAAACAAACTCTGAAAGGGCTTCCAATAATTCTAGCTTTAAGATGTCCACAGCCCTGTGTTATGTCTTCCACGCGAGACTTTGCTTCTAACCAACAGAATGCAGCAGAATTGAGGAGATGTCACTTCTTGGATGAAGTTATAAAAGATTGTAACTTCTGCAATGCTAGCACGTTTTCTCAATTACCTTCTCAACCTGCATGCTTTGATAAAGCAAACTGCTCTATGAGAGAGTCCCACATGGCACAGAACTGCCAGCAGCCTCAGGTCAACAGCCAGCAGAGAACAGAGGCCCTCAGTCCGATTGTGTGTGGAAGAACAAAGTGCTGCAACAATCACTGAGTGAGTTTGCAAAGGGTTTCTTCTCCAGCTGAGACTTGAGTGAGACCACAGATGCTAAACCAGTAACCTGATTACAGCTTCTTGAGAGACAGTGAAGCAGAGGACCGTAGCTGGATTGTTGACCCATAGGAACCGTAATGTAAGTAATTTGTTAACTGCTAAATTTGGGGGTAATTTGTCATTCATTCATCAGTGACCGATATACTCATAGATGAATTAAAACCTTTTTGGGGGTTTCTTCTGATGCCCATCAGGTTCTGCTTCTCTGAGTGCAATGATCGTTTTAAAAAAAATAGGCTTAGTGGCTGGAACCTGTAATTCCAGCACTTTGGGAGGCTGAGATGAGGAATTTGAGGCCAGCCTGGCCAACCTGGTGAAACCCCATCTCTACTAAAAAAAAAAAAAAAAAAAAGAAAGAAAGAAAGAATAAAATACAGTACAATACAAAAAAAAAAAAAAAAAAGGCTTTCTAAAGTCAGAGAGTCTTCATGATTTGATCATTTAGACGCCATGGTAATCAGTATTATTTGGAACTGATAGAACCCTGATTAAAGAGAAGGGGAGATTTTGCTGCTGTTTTTGTTTGTCTCCCGACAGTCCATGGAAGTGCTGAGGACAAGAGAGCTATGCTGGAGACCCAGTTTGCTAAAACACAGAACAGGATGCTAAGGAAACGACTCCAGCTTTTGCTGCTCCCTCTGAGCTCGGCCATAACTCCCATAGCCACTGCAGTCGTTGATGCAAGAAGGGACTCCACTTTAAAATAACTAGGTCCTTTGAAAGCTGGAGATATGTTTTCTTTTACCAAATCATCCCCTCCAAATGGAAGTATCTTGTGAGTTTAGCAGACTAGTAAAGTCAGTGTTATATCTCTGAATCTTGACTCTTACACAGGCTGATATTTTCAGTATTTCTGAGTTTCATCTCTTGGGATAATGGAACTTATGAGGCTAAAAATTATGCTAATATAAAGAGGATATAAAAAAATAAATAAAAGTACAAATGCCAAAGAAATGAGAACAGGTGTTGCTAAACAGGTATTATGTTGTTTAATGAGTAGCTACTAAGGGAAGACGTAAGGTGATTGGCCAGCAGTGAGAAACAGGATATTACCTCACCAACTATAACACAAAATTCATATAAATATTTCCAAATTGTTCCACATTTCCAGTTATTATTCTGAGATTGGAAGGAGGAGAAAAAGCCCTTTCATTCCAAACTAAAGGAAATTCACATGCCTAATGATAGACACTTGGAAAGTCATTCAACTTTGCATTTTGGAAGAAGAAAAGGAAGTCAACAATATAAATCTACATCTAAAAAAATTTAAATATTCATTTAAAAAGAAGAAGCTCAGTAAATAAGGTAAAACCTTATATCTGAAATTCAAACATGTATTTGAAAAGGAAGTGAATCACACTAATTACAAAGAAGAAAAAGGAATATAACACGAAAGAAAGAAAAATTGTAAAAGATGTATTTTAATAGCTTAGCTTCAGATATCATAGTGTTTTGTTGATTATGGATGGGTGGTTATCCCTCATTACTGGACAGGTGGAAAACATTAATGTCATCAACTATAAAAAACTCCCACCTGATATAATGTATTCATACCATAATCTGTTTTTCTAGACATTTTTAAGTAAGATGCTGCTCTCTGTCTCCAAACCTGGAATATGTGTTCCTCTTCTTACTTTTTATATCCACTTTAATTGTTGTCACAGTTAAACTGTATTATAATTTCCTGTTTATATCTCTGGAATTCTATTTGACTATAAATTATTTTAGGACACAGAATAGCTCTTATTTGTCATTCTAATCATATTTGTTACCAAAACCTGAAGCAAAGTATTACAGGTAGATTTCTGTGGAAACTAAAAATGCGGCTTACCTGACATTTCTCAAACATTTGATACACTAAACCATGTCAATCTATGAAAAAAGAATACCAGAATGTTTTTAAAATTATAAAACCTGTAGAAGAAAAAAAATAGTATTTAATACATTGTATGTTAAATGCATTAGATTTTAAGACGTTGATTAACATTAGATTAATATGGAATTATGAACTTTGGAAATAGTTAAGAAAGTAAATACTGGTGAAACAAAAAAGCAAACTTGAAAGCAAATTGAGAAAATAATATTAGCTTACGTCAAATAAGCTAATATTATTATTATTTTTTTTTTGGTGTTAAATATATTTATTGTAAACTTTAGACACAAAAATAGGTTCTCTAGGCCATTCACATGCACGTTAAAACCAAAAGTTGCAAACTACAACAATGCATGTAATTATACAAATGATGACAACTCTGTGATGTTTACAGGATTGCTGTCCATGCAAGGTGATCAGAGGCATTATTTATGAAGCCTTAAGATTCAGAAGTGTTGTTACTACCAAACCTCTGATTAACACTGTGAAGTAAGTGTTTTGGAAGGCAGTTCCATGAGTTGGCTAACATTTCTTTAAAACAAATGACTGCTTCTAAACTTAGCCGTACAAGAGATTTGGGTTGAACTGAAAATATTAGTATTTCATTACTGTGTGCAGCTCTGTGATGGACAAGCAGGTTGTTGGCACATCCACCAAAAACAATTACTTCTCCTTCATCACTGGCACAAGCTGTGTGTCATAACCTTGGTTTTTCAGCATATGGATGATTAAACTGTATACATTCATTTTTGCTGATGCAGTAAGTCCAGGCATCACTTAGTGGCTGTTTATCAGTGGTAAATCCTCCAAAGAGAAAAAGATGATCTGAAGAAACTGGTGTTAGTGAGTGCCAAGATTGGCCAACTGGGCATATGCCTTGTGGAATTAATTCATTCCACTCCCATGTATCCCGATTAAGATAGTGAAGGTCATTCATTCTAGCATCTCGGTATCTGCCTCCAAACACAAAGCCTTTGTTTCCGACAGTTGCACAAGCATGGGCAGCACGAGGTGAAGGTGCTTTACCAGTAGTTATAGGCTGGCTCCAGGTAAAAGTTTCAGTATCTAAAATATGTACATGATATGGACCTGAGATTTAAAAAATACAGAAGCTAAATATGACTGAGGTGCATTTTTTATTATTATTAGCTTAAAGGTCAGTGCTAATATTGAGAAACACTCTTTCTTTAACCAGACAGGTTCCTGTGAGTTTTTTCTTTGTCTAGTCCTCATCCTTGGATATCAAGAGCTGAGGTGGAGCAAAAATCTTGTCAAGTAAGTTTGGAAAGAAGCCTCACCCTGGATGTCTGCTCACTCTCAATATCTAATCAAATTCCTCATCCTCCACCGCCCCCAAGGGGTATGTGATCACCCTGTCCTGTTCTCAGCAGGAATCTTGTTCATTTAGCCAGAAGCTTCCCTTACTCCTGATGTTTCCTCTTAGTAATTTTTCATCTACTGATCCTTTCTCTGTTCCTTGGCTATAAATCCCGCTTGTTCATGCTGTGTTAGGAGATAAGCTCAATTTTCCTCCCCTGCTGCAAAACCCTATTGCAGTAGTCCCTTGTATAAAGTCTTCATTACCATCTGTAACAAGTGTCAGAATACATTTTTCTTTAACACTATCACTGGAAAAGTGCCTGAGGGAATTAATATAAATAAGCATGACAAAAATGACCTAAATTAATACCAAGATGTGTACCACTAGGAGGTAAAGAGAGAATGTGGAATTATGTCCATATATCTTACAAGGCATGCAGGTTTTTTTTTTTTTTTTTTTTTTTTTAAGCCTATTTCTCAAGTATTATACAAGGAACCTGTGGTGAGAAACTTGTATTTGAAGCCAAATAGTTACAGGTTAAAATCCTGTTTGGTTTTTCTTTTTTCTTTTTTTTTTGTGTTATCTATTGCTTCTTCCTGAGCATGATTTAGAGACACTCCTCAGACTGGAGTTTCCTTATGTAAAGTAAAAATAATATCTTCCCTTCCTATACTAATAGTAATTTAAATGTTAAGGTTACATTTTATGTAAGCACTTAATTAGGAGCTCACAAATATAGGCATTATGGAACGCTCTGACTAGAAATCACATTTCCTCTGATCTTAGAACTTTTAAAGACAAAATAGATGATGTGGGTTGGATCCTAATGACCCCCATGCATATCTAAATTATTTATGTTAAAAATTTCCAGGTGCTGAAGTAGTAAAGACAATTGTCAATTCTTCTCATGAATGAGTCCTAGTAAAGTTTTAAGTTTAGAAATCTGGCCATCTAACACAGATATGGAAACCGTGGCTATGAAAATAGTGGATGACCCATTTGAAGATGTGGTATGGAACTTTAAATAGAATAACATATTATTTTCAGTCTTAAAATAGCAGTCCATTGATTCAGACACCAGCTCTCCATATTTAAAGAGTACATGAAACTTTTTGAAGTGATCTCTAAATATCCTGAGTTTGGAAAGATATAATCTATCATTCTCACTTATATGGAGAGCTGCCACATAATGATACGTAATACTATTAAATGGGAAATTCAGATTAGAATCTCATCTCTTATGAACTAAATCTTTTATTCCAAAATGAAAGTGTTGCAATTTTCAATGAAATGTGGTTTCTTCAATATTTAGAATTCAATATCTGCAAAAGCCAAATTAAAAGGAGCTTAATTGTCAGAAGGGCAATGTGAAGATGGCAATGGAAAGGAATAGAATACTTGGCTCATTTATTTTTCCCCACTTTCAATGACTCTCTTTTGTAATGATTATCTTTAGGTCTCTGCATGGTACTGTTTTTCTTCTCAATTATAAAATTTTAATCATTATCTGGGATCTATGAAATGAAATAAATTTAAATGCAACTCTGAATTATTGAGGGTAATGTTCAAGAGCTATTTACCAATTCTGCCATAATATTTAAATTATATATGAAAATTATTTATATATTATAATTATATATTATATAATATACATTATTTTCAAATTATAATTATATAATAAACATACATAATATAATTAATTATGATTATATATAAAATTATGTATAATTTGATTATGTCCAGTTTGATATATATAAATTATATATAATTTGAATGTTATAATATGGCAGAATAGGTACTTTTTGCAGTAAGACTGGATACCGAGATTCTGTTCAACACTCAATTGCCTACCCTATGCACACATATTCAGCTGCATTGCTATTCTTTTATACTTGCATCTAACTGCCTTAAATCTCATTCCTTTGTTCGAATGCCCAAAAATCACATACTGAAACCAGTTTATAATTTATATTACCCACGGAGGGGCACACCTCAAAAGCAACATAAGCTGATGGACTATTTTCCAAAGCATAATTTATTATCATTATCGTCATCAGTGCTATCCTTTGACCCCTGTCTAAACAGGCCAAGGTTATGTTAAGATAGCTTATTAAGTGAAATATGTATCTCTGCAATTAGATGGCTTATTACTCTCTTGAGTTTGATATTATCTATACTTAAAGGAGAGTCGCATTTTCTTACAATTTCTATCTTTATTTCAGAACACGTTAGTTACTCATATTTTAGTGTCTTTTATCATGAGTGCTCTTTGCTATAACGAATGCATGCACCACACCAGGTAGTTGGTGAAAGTTTTCTTTCACTTATAACTAAGTTCTTTTTCATTTCTGTGAGTACCAAAATATTAAAAAGAGGAATATAAAGTTGAGAGACAATTGATTTCCTACATGTCTACATTAAAAAACAAGTGTAGTCTAGCTGGCAGGGTATTTGATCTGTTAGCTCTGTATGTTGCATGTAGATCAATCTACTTCTGACCTTCTCATAACAAGTTGTTAAAGAAATTCTCTCTCTCTCTCTCTCTCTCTCTCTCTCTCTATATATATATATATATATATATATATATATATATATATATATAATTTTATTTTAAATATAATTTTGGTTAAAGGAAACACACTAAAAATTCCCAGATGTGTATTCAAAGCATGTGACAATTATGATTCCTACTAAGTTTGTTTCTAAACATTTTAGGCACGTAAACTTTCACTGGAGAGGGCAAGCATAAACACCGGACAAAACCTCTCTGATTGGAGAAAATCACACAGTAACTCCGCCATCAACATCTTTTCTCTTTGCTAAATTTAGGAGAGAAGACGAATGGGAAGGACTTAAAACTAGGTCTTTGGTAATTAGCGATGACTGGAGCAATTCAAAATCACCACTTTAGGATAATTCTGAGTCGGTTTACATTACTTAAAGCAACATCTTCTCACATGAATCTATCATCCAATAAATCAGAGATATTAATAAACACTATTTAATATACAAAGTGTAATTGAAAATTAGAGTTATAGAAGATAAGTGCATCTAGCTGAGGGTAATTTTTACAGCCTACTTTGCAGAATATATACCCAAATTCAGAGAAAATGTATCTAGAAGATATTTCTAGAAGCATGCTCCAGTTTCCAAGATGAAGCAGGTCCAATGGCTATTTTGTTTTGCAACTCTAAGTAACAATCAAATCTTTCAAACAGAATTTGACAAAGAGTCAAACAGATCTATTCCTTCTTCCCTTGCAGGAGTAAACTGAAAGAGTATTCTGGGTTCAAATATATATCTTAATAAAAGACTTCCTTTCATATGGAGACCATAAACTATCTTAATCTTTTTTGGGTATCTGGGAAGTTCCTATCTCAGAAAGATTATAATAGCAAAGTAAAATGTCAATCTTTTGCTCCTTTCTTCTATTTAAAAAGTTAAACTTTTAAAAAAATTGATTTATTTTTCAAAATGTTAACATTTTACGTCTATAGAGTATTATAATGTCATCTATGGTATGGTATAATTACTCTCAGGAAGAGAATATAAAAATACTTACTTACAATGAACAAAACGTGAAGGAATAAACAATCAAAAGAGAAGCCTATCTGTAATGGTAGAAATAAAATAGAGGGGCTTTGAATAAAACAAAGAAAGTATGCTTTTTAAAATATTACTTCTTTGTAAATTTTATTTGTTTTATTTGAAGTCATGCTAATATTGCATATAGTTATTATACAATATTAAAATAAAAATCTCAACACAATCGAAACTAAAGTGTAATAAACATATAAATATGCACCCAGTTGATCATATCCACAGAGGCAAAAATTATGCCAAATGGATTTAAAACACAGTAACTTGACTATAAATTTGTAATGGAACAAATATAGGTATAAATTTTTAAACTAATCATATTACTTTTGTTAGTGTTAGTATTTTTATTTTGAGATGATTGTAGGTTTTCTAAGGCATAAAAATTAAATAACTGTGTAATCTTGTTAATCTTTTGCTCCCAATGTCCTAGAAAAATGAGCTTCTCAGCATAAAGGAGATACAAATATGTAAGGTAAAATGGATTGAGTATAAATTCTATAACCTGCATTTTAAATGGGAAGCATTATTATCATAATCTCATTTTGTACCTTATTTGGAAATAAGCAAAGAAAAAAATAACAATAAAAATTTCTATTTTTTTAATCTAAAAACACCTAGAAAATATGGTCTATATCATATTAATAATACTTTTACCAAGTGTCAAGATATTGAGCATAAATGACTTATTTAACTAGGGATGAGATAATAAAAAAGATGAGTTTGCAGTATCTGATATATTACATAAAAAGGAAGCTTTCAAAGACACAGGAATCTAATAGAAGTTTCCACTGACAAAGGATGACACATGCTTAGTCTCACAAAAATGTCAACTATCAAATGTAATTATATCCATAATTTGACTATATTTCTTAAAAATAATTTATTTTTTGAAGCATGAGAAAAAAATATTTTAAACCCATTTAATTCAAAGAAAGAAGGATTTATTCTGTATTTTTCCTTAGGAATTATACCACTTGGTAATCAAGCAGAAATTGATGGTAATTTCTTTTTATAAGGATTTTGCAGATGATATGGATGTAAATATTTGGATTAGAATATTGTTTTGACAATTTTCAATAAAATAATAAATCTATGCAATAATCACCAGTAGCTGCTAGCACCATAAAAACATGACAATCAGCTAATATGTTTTGCTTAATATAAAACA